TCCATTATACATCAGGTAAGGAAAATTGTTCAGACCCTCAGGAGTATATTTGCTTCCTCTTTATCTGTCTTCACAAATCTTCATAAATCTGTTTATTTTTTTAAGGTGTACCAGAATTCAATTTCTCCTTGTAAATGTTGAGATCTCACTGAAATGCTATGTATTTTTTTTTTAAATGTAAGTAGCACTAGAAACGAACTTGTAGCTTGTTTCTTATACAAAACGGCATGGAGGAAATGAGTCTCTCCAGTGGTACAGATGATTTGAGGGAAATTCTGGATATAAATGTATTTCTTGTTGCAGTATAGGAACATGTCAGCTTAATCTGGTAAATACTTATGCTAATTTCACTGAGTGAATTCGTTATAAGGAGGAGAGGTACCAAGCTCGTATCACTGAATAATGCTTAGGCGATAATCCAGCATCTATATGGATTACTTTATGTACAGAATGAAAAAAGGAACCAAGAAATTCAGAATCTAAATCCTTCATTTAGCTGGCAAGGGGACAGAAAATTTTAGACCAATCTGTTTTAAACAATTTATAGTAGGAAGGGAAAGTGGAAAGTAGGCTAAATATTGCATTGATGTGTATATTTCCCTGCTTCTCGCTCAAGTGCATGGTTGTATATATAAACACAAAGATATCTGCATAAATGAGTACATAAATATACATTTGAATGACTTCAGTTGTCTGTGCATCCCTGTGTGTGCATAAGTACATGTGCACACAGATATTCAAGGTGTACGCAGATGCAGGTACTGGACAGGGGTGTGCTTTCGGGCTGGGGGTTTCCATTTCCAGATCTGTCTGAAGCTCCTTTTTTCGCAACTATAATATAGAAATGTTGGTTTAATGCTGAAGATGTGGATGGTAAATTTGATTTAGAATCTGCTCCCCTGCAATTTTCAGAGTCTGGGGTTGCAATGTGAGCAGCTGTTATTTGGTCACATTGGGCTCAAAGATGCGATGGGCCAGTCCTTTTTAAGGAGGAAGGGAGGGGAACGGGATCTTAGGAGATTTCACTCCCAAAGAGCCTAGCTCTGGGCCCTGGGTTCTCTGCTGCTGGGGGACTGGGGACACAAAAACAAAAAAGGGAGGAGAAAGAAAAAAAGAAAACCTCGTGTGGAGGCATGGGAGGTTGAAAGGACGCTTCTCCGTACAACTCCAGAGCTAGATCTAAGAGAAGGGTTGCAGGGTGAAGAATGTGCGGTCCCTTTTTGAATGTGTATTGTTATTCTAAGTCTATTGTATGTACGTGTTACTGTCCTTTCATTTGCCACGACAACATATGGATTCCATAAATGCAGACATGCCGAAGTGCATCTGTCTGGGTAGTTAACACGATCCAAACATCCCTCTTCGTTCCGCTAACTCCGGCTCTTCCTCCAGCTCTCAGGCAGCTCTCCGGGCCGACCGGCCCGTGCCCCAGCCTTACAGCGCCCCGCAGTCTTGCCCTTTTGTGGTCTCCTGGTGGGATCCAAGGTGCCGCGCGGAGGAGGCGGGCTGCTCGGCAGTGCCGAGGTCAGAGGCGCCGCTGACGCCGGCCCCTGAGCGCGTGGGGAGGAAAGGGTTAAGCTGCCTGAGCCTCGGGAAGGGGCTGCGCTCATTCCGGAGCGAGGTGCAGCCACCAGCAGCTGTGATTTAGGGGTCAAGTCCGAGATCACCTTTCTCCTGCCTCTGGAAATGGCAGAAGATGAGGTAGGGAGGGAGAGACAGGAGAGAGAGACAGCCTGGAGCGGCACTTGGCGCTCCAGCCATCCGTTCCCTCCCCCCACCCTGCAGCCTACCTCCTGACCCCTAGACAAATCGAACAGTTCCCCCTTTCTCCTAAGGGTGCAGGGCGAGGTGCCTCTGATCATTCACAGCTCCACCCGCAAGTCTGTCCTGCGGTTAAAACCACTGTGCCCTGAACCTCAACCACCGATGAGAAAGTTTGCTCTTAATGCACCAGATAGTGAGCAGCTAGATATGGGTAGAAAGTGCTCCCCGTTTATAAAATATCAGGGGTGCCTTTGGCAGAATGGGGGACTTTGAATGTTGGCACCAGCTCCTCAGACTCAGGTTGCGCTCCTCACAGTGGAGGACAGATGTACACAGTGGTGCCCATTAATTGCAGCTTCTTGCTTTGTGCCCACATTCTTGGTCAAAGCTTCCCCTCCCCCCCAACTCAGGCAGCCTGGAGAATACTTTTGTGAAAATATTTGTCATGCCTGAAAGATAACCAAAACCCAATTCAGATTTATTTCTGAGGCATTTCACTGGAAAAGAGCAAAGCAATTGGAGTCCCCTTTTGTTTTGGCGCCCTGCAGGTGCGCCAAGGGGTGGGTCTCAGAGCCCAGGTGATGTCTGGGGACTGTAGGGGGACATATATGGTGCCCAGAGAAGGAGCTCTGACTGAGAAAGAGTTTCCCAAATCCACCCCGGCCAGGCTGGACTTCAGGACAACGACCGCTCTTTTGGAAAGTTACTTCAAGAAAAAGGAGTTTCTGGTGGGAAAAGATCTGGCTTGAAATGACAGGCAGGGGAACTAGATCCCTGGGGGACAGAAGGCAGGTGTGTGTGTGGTTGGGGGGGAGGCGTGGAGAGTAGCTAGGGAGAGAAGGGAGCTAGGAGGTCCACACACAAGGGCGCGGCCGGGGAGGCTCTGCGCGACTCGTTCCCCAGACACTCCCTCCAGCTGCCAGAGCAGAGCTAGGACGAATCACCCCGATTTCAGCTTCTGCTTCCAGGGCCAAGAGCGTGGACCAGCTGGTCCAGAAGGCAGCTGAGGGATGTCTTCAGAGCCCTACCGCCCCTTACCCCGCCAGAGCCTCCAAACCACGGAAATCAAACCAAATTGGCCACTAGAATCTAGAGAGGTTTCATCCCTGGGGCAAGGGGGAGGGAACAGACTTTCTTTTTTTCCTTGTGAACTCCCGATTCAAAAGAGACCACAACCTACTCTGGAGTGCCATCCCCACTACATGGATTGTGGGTATATTTCATTCTTTCATTCTTTTTTCCCTACTTCTCAGAAGTAAAAACCTTTAAAGAATTAGCCCCAAACTTGGAGCACCCAGGTCCTTGAAATAGTTCTAAATGATAAAGCCTGCCCTTCATTTCCAATACATGGCACATTGCAAAAATGCTGGGCAACCAGACAGTTGCAGGGTTTGAGTCGGATTCCCGGTTTCCTCCGCACCTTTGCAATGGAAATCTGAAATCCAACCTTGGAGAAGGAGGCGCCTGGGAGCTGGTGGCTCTCCTAGGTTTTGCACCGCCCACACCACCGGCAAACGCCGATTCCCCTTTTGGTGACCTGGTGCTAGAAGTTTGCAGTACATCTAAAGCCTGGGGCGGGTGAAGCAGAGAGAGAGGACTAACCTCTTAACGCAATAAAGTGAACAACTCGAGGACAAGAGACCCTTGTCAGGCTATATTCGCTTTGGGGAATTCCAAGAGCATAACTTGGGCGGGGGGAATGATGACCAAGGCTTCTGATTGCCAGCTGGAGGCAGGAAAAAGGAATCCTTGAGAGGAACGTGAGATGGGCTGGGGTGCAAGGCGGCGAGTGGGTAACAGACCTGGTGCCTTTCCCCCCAGAGCCCTCTAGGACCGGTGTGGGGAGTCGGTGCCCATGGTAGCACGTGCATTGTTGACACGCAGACACGCAGGCGTGCGCTAATGGAGGGATGCGCGGGTGAGCAATCCCCGATGCCTGCATTTCTTGCAGGCATGGCTTGTTTAATAGCCTGGGAATTGAGTGCCTGATATCCAACCCCCCCCCCTTTTTTTTAATGAGAAATGTAAAAGGGACCTATACTGTGTACGTATTCTGAAGAAACATGTGCATTTTTTTTAAACAAATACCTAGCACCATAATATTTCTGATTTAAGGGGCGAGGGAAATCTTTGAAGTGAAGGAAATCAGTGGGGGACGAACCATCTTTTCCTGATTTTTTTGTGCCTCCTCTCAAAGCCAGTAATGGGATTTAAAATGAGAGATTCCTAGTCCTCCCTCCCGTTCCATTTCACTCCCTTTGCCCCAGAAAACATCTGTGGCAACCGACTGCACGTCTAAGGGGACGGTTTAAAGAGAAACAAGGTTTGGGGCGCACATCAACTTTCCTTTTCTTTTTCAAATGAAGCTGGAAAAAAATTCAAAGGACAATTTAAGCACCAAACGACATCGAACAGATATTTTTCCAAAGCAAAAATTTTCCAATTCGTTTGTTTCCTATTCTTAGAAATAGAGAAAAAAGGCAAACCTAATCTTCCTGCACGAGGAGAATGGCACGAAATTTGGAGCCAGCGCTCGCTCGGTTAAGGCTGGCGGGCGGAGAACCCGGCGCGGCCCCACGGGTTTGGAAGAGTCGGGCGCACGCCAGGCTGGCGGGCGGGGGGCTCTGGCTAGCTAGATTTTGCGCGCACGTTCTGCGCACCCCCCCACCTCTTGCCGGGGCAGCGGGCAGGGCAATGGTTCCCTGTGGACGCAGCCACCTCCCTGTTTAATTCCAGGGCCCAGCGGGGCAGCAGGGACATTCGACGCCACCTTCCTCTAGCTCCGGCATGGGGCGCACGCTTTTCGAGGCTGCTTTCCTCTCCTCGGGGCTCGGTATAGACTGAGCGCTGTTCCCTCCTCCCCACAAACCTCGCGGATCCGGACAGTTTCCCGAGACACTGACCATACAGTTGACTGAGCCAGGGTTCGCATCCCTCATGCCTGGTACACCCGGTCCCCCTTGGGGGAAGCTTTATTCTCCTGCCGGCTCTGAGCTCCCGACAGGAAGCGCGGGGCGCTCAGGCCCCTGGAGCGGCCAGCTGGGGAACTTACAGCGGCGCAGAACCGCTGTCCCGGGCTGGGCAACCCTCACAGGTGCGCGCAACACACTGCGGCGGGCTCTGCGGGGAAATGAATCCCCACGGAACAACTGGAGCCCCCCATTGTGACCCTGCGGGACGCCTCTGTAAAACCACCAGGCCGTGTGCTGGCCCCTGCGGCCAGCTGGGAAGGAAAGGGGGCAGCGGGGGGCACCTCTTGCGCTCGCATGACCTGAGATGCCCAGGCCCAGCGTCGGTTCCCATGACCTCCCACTCCCCACGCCGGTGCTTATGGTGGCACCCCCTCTCTACCGCCCTGGCCAAGCTGCCCAGCTCCTTCAGGACACAGGTGCCCCAAGCTCATCCTGTGGGGGCACCAAGGTGGGGGCAGTTGGGGGTTTCTGCATCCAGGAGGGCAAGGGGTGGAGTTCCCACACAACACTCCCAGTGGAGGCTTGGGGGACCAGAGGGTGGTTTTACAGTCCCAGGGGTGTGGGAGCCAGGGACCCCTTGGGAGACACTCAGGCCTGCAGAAACTCGGAGGGGGTGGAACTGGATACTTCGGGTTTGCCGCGGGTCCACTCGAGGAGTGCCCTGTCTGCGTTTTGGGTCCTGCGGTTCCCCCTCCCTTTCGTTTTTGTCTGGGAAGGAAAAGCAAAGCGGGTGGATTTGCGCCGACCCCTCTTCCCCAAGTCTGGGAATGCTGCGGCAGGAAGAATTGCTCATAACGACACTTAAGCCTCGACACTTGAATGCTAAAGGTTAAACTTACAGTCTTCAGGGAAGGGCTTCCTGCCAGCTGGAACAGTGGTGTGGCCGCCATAGGCTCTCCCCCACCCGCCCTGCCCCCACTCCAGGTACAGCCAGAGTCACTCACGCTTTGGGGGCCTTCCTGCACCTCAGGAGAGGGGGGCCTGGGTGCTAGCTCTCCCCGTCCCTCCCCCACCCCTGGGGCCCTCTTTCCTGGTCTCCTCATCGTCTTGTCATGGCTGTTTAACCTCAGTTTGCCCGCAGCAGGCAGGACTTGCAGGTTCCAGCTAGTTCATACAGGTGAATACTTGTCCCTCTTCCCTTTGCTGGGGCACTTAGTGGTCCCTGCAGCTCGGTGCAGACAAAGCCAGAGCTAATACACTGAATGCAGTGCCCAGAAAGCGAGGGAGCTGCAGGGAGACCTTGCTTATAATGGGTAGTTGGGGGGAGGGCTTGATCTTTCAGGCTGCGAAGATTTCCCAAAAGGAACATTCCCAGGGGCACAGGGGTCTGTATCCCAGGGACCCTATGCTGGTGTGCTGAGAGCCTGGGACCAAGAGCAGACCATTTCTTAGCTTTTCCCCTGACCCCACCTCCCCCACCCCACCCCACTCCCAGCAGCCTGAAACAGGGCCTTCCCAGGGAGAGGGACAGAGGGATGGCAGAGTGAAGGGGTTGGAGATTAGCTCTTAGAAACCTGGTAAGCTGGTTCTCTTCTCTTCCCCTCCCTCCCTCCCTGAAGGCCTGCCACTTATTGAGCACCTACTGTGTATGGGTCTCCTGGAAGATACTTTGTAGGTTTTTGGATTCCACTCTCCCAGTAGCCTTAGGAAATAGGTATTATTAGTCCCATTTTATGGATGAGAAATCAGACTCAGATTAAGATCACATAGCTAGCTATTCAAGGCTCAGCCTGAATGTGAACCAGCTCCATCTGGCTTTAAAGCTATTTCTACTATACCGTCAGCCTCTTGTTAAGATAGAAGAATCAGGGACCCAAGGGAAAATAAAAAAGGGATGCCATGCTGTGGCCTGAAAGAAGGGAAAGGAAGACACTCTGGAATGGGTTCTCTGGTTTTGCTATGGATTCCTGACTGGATCCAATGCTGAGAGACAGGTACTGAAGGCCATGGAAGACACTGTCTTAGGGCCAAAAGGCAGGAGTGATAATGAAACAGGACAGCATGAACAAGCCCCCCGCCCCCCAGATGAAGGCCACATACTGGGGCCCCGGGACAGCTGCCCAGTATGCTGCTGGATCTGCTGGCCTGCACTGGCCACACCAGGAAAAGCTCCCACTGGCCCTTTTTTTTTCTCCTTTGTATATGTTCTTACTGTGTCTGAAGCTGACGAATCTGTGACTTCTGTGAGTCAGCAGGTTAACAGGAAGGAATGATCAGATGACCAGTTACTCATGAACAAATATGAGGAAATCTCAAGACCAGGAAGAGGACTGGATAGTGACATCCAAATGGCAGGCCTTTGGAGGGGGGGTCTCCTGGTCCCTCCAGGGCTGGCGCTGGGAGCTCAGTGTTACAGGTGGGGTGGGGTCTGTGCCTCAGCCAGCCTGCGGCCCCCTCAGAAGAGGAACACCTGCTTTGTGGACACTGAGGTTTGCCGTGGGAGTGAGTCTTCCCCGACTCTGGCCCCCGGGCAGTAAAACATTCCTTCCAGGGGCTCTGCAGCAAGAGGAGGCAGTGGGCAGGTCAATAGCAGCAGCTGACATCTCTTCGCTGTCTTTCTCTGGGTTGACCTGGGCTGAAACTGCACAAGAGTGAGTGTGGGTAACTGGGCAGCAAACTGGCCAGGCCCCCATGGAGGGGTTGCTGAAAGCCTTGTTAAGGAGTCCTCTTGACCAGACAATCCAATTACATAATGCTGCAAAAATAACTCTGGGCTGGGAGTCTTGTCAGAGTGACGTACTTTGCTAACGGAGAGGGGTATCAAATATCTATCTTTCAACCCAAGGTCCGAAAGTAGACTTGTGGCACTGATGGACCCCTGCCCTCGACACAGCATGAATGGGGGAAGTGGAAGGCAGGGAGGAGACAGAAGCAGCAAGGAGGCATGTTTTTTTCTTTCTTCCTTTTTCCAGGTACAACTAAACCCAACTGTTCACCTCAGCTCCATTCTATCCAAGTCAAGGCATCAGTCACATATCCTCAAATTTGTCTCTGTGGTCCCTGCTCTGAAAGGATCAAGGAAGGCTGAGGGGAAGGAGTGATGGGGGAGAGAGGAAGAGATGAGTAGAAAATGAGTAAAAGAGTATTGTTTTGTTTGTTGATGGAACAGGTTGAGGAAGAATTATGTTACTATTTCTATGTCCACGAGGCTAGGCCTCCAACTACTGTGACCAACTGGTAGTCCCACTTTGCCCAAGACTGTCCTAGATTTAAAACTGCATCCTAGGAACACCCTCAACCCTGGAGAACTCAGATAGTTGGCCACCTTCCCTCTCACAGGCTTTGGCTAAATTTCCACAAGGACATAGAAAATTATGATCAAAATAAGGGAGTTCCTTTCACTTCAAAATTATTCAAAGAATGGCCCAAATAAGCTATTCCAACATAGATGCAAAGGCCCTATTTCCAGGAATTTGAAGAAAGCCAAGTAATTCTCCCCACCCCAGTCCCACTGTGGATTCTAGAGCTTTCCAGGCGGGCAAATCACCTGTTTCACCCACTTCATTTTTCAGATAAAGTTTCCAGATATGCCTTTGGCACTCTTAAGATGCTCTGCCCTGCTTTGGTCAGGAAGCAGTATTTTGAGGGGGAAAGAACTCTGTTTGAAAGTCACAGTAAGTTGTCTTTTTTTTCACCTAATCTCTTTCATGGGGTTTCTGTTACTCTGGTGGCACCGCAGTCACATACTGAGCTGCATCAAACTCCTTTAATATATTCACCTTGAGTCTGTTAGCATTTTCTTTTTCCTAATCTTGATAATCACAGCATCTGATCCTTTCATTCTAAACTGCAGCCTTCCAATCCATCCTTAATCTAGACCCATCTGACCCTCTTCCAAAGGAGACAAATGAGGATAAGCAATCCAGCCCCTCCCCAAGACACAGCATTGGAGCTTAAATTTATATTCATCCCCACCTCCATCCTTTTTTAAAATCAAATGTCTCTTTAACTCCTCGAGCTAATTATAAAAGCAAATAGCTTTCCCTCCCTGAGTCATATTCCTTGGCTTGTAAAAAGGCAGTTCTACTCAGAGACCACCTTGTCACAAACATGAAAAAAACCCGGCTAGTTCAGGACTCCTCAGAGAGGAAAGGGTGAAGTGGCAGCGCCCCCGCCTCCCCCAGCAGGCTCGGCCTTTATGGAGTCTATTTCCAGTATGTTTACCTGGCAAGGATCACGTGACCAGTCCAGAAGGAAATGCTGACATCATTGTCTCTCTCACACATGTGCGGCCTCCCTCCCTCCCTCCCTCCCTCCCAGCTCGCCGGCATTCCGACATCTACCGTCCGGCCTCTCTCCACCACCCGGCCTCCTCCCCCACCACTCACGCCTGCTCCCACTTATTTCTCTGTCTTCCTTGTGCCACACTTTCCTTTGTTTTCTTTTTCCTTGTAGGCTGTCTCCTAGACTGTCTTGGGCACGCGCACACACACACACACACACACACACACACTTCGGGTGCCCTTTTCCTTTCCCTTCTTCAACAAGCCTTTTCTTCCCTTTCATTCTCTCGCAGATCTGTGGCTACTGAGTCTTCGCTCTGGTTTAAAAATACACTTCCTCTTTCTCTATAGGTTGGACATTTCTTAAAAAAAAAAAGTCAGAAAGGCCCAGAAAAGCTTCCAGACCAAAGGTGGGGGAGGACAGAGCAAGGTGGCTCCGTCCAGCCGCTCAATTTCCTGCTCCAGTGGGCTTGGAGATTTAGGTGCAGGGAGTTTGGTCAGACAGGCCTTATTTATTTATTTCTTCTCCATCTTTCCTCTCTGGTGTTTCGACTGCTGCTGCAGGCAGGGGCGCCCTTCGCACCCCACAGCCAGACCACAGGTCCCAGCAGCCCTTGGCGGAGGGAGCATGTGTAACTGGCGCCTGGTCTTCTCTAGGCTGCTGCTCTTCATTCTGCCCCAGGGCCCAGGAGGCTTCTCGTATTCTTCTGGCCAGCCAGGATCTGGGGGAGCTGGGAAGACCCAGGGGGCAGGGAGGAAGGCCAGCGATCAGCACAGGTGCCTCCTACCTCTTCAAAGGACTGTTTTTACAAGCAACCCTGTCTGTGGCAAGGCTCTGGGGTTCAGCTGCTCCCAGAAATCTTTCTTGGTGCACATGGGCACAGAGCCAAAGCATGCTGCTTAGAGGAAATGTTTAATAAAGACATGAGAGCCTCAAACTCTTTATCCTTACAGACAGGTGGAGATGTGATGTCCCTGGAAACTGCCTCCAAAATAGACCACGAGGCGGGGAGACTGGAGGGTGAAACAACCGGGGGGAATCACAGGGAATGGCTGGCCTGGCCAAGGCCATCTCCCCTTTTACTCCCACCTGCCACCCCAGTCTGTGCTCTCCTGGGTTCACACACCTTGTAGGTTGGGATGGGGCAGTGAGATAGAGGAGGAATGGGACAGTCATGCAAAGATGAGGGCATTAAGTAATCATTACTTAAGGTGAGGGCGTACAATCCCCAGCAGGCATAAAGGTGGGACTCTACTGGAAGAACATGCTTTTGTGGGCAAGTTTACCACTGGGTTATATGGAAAATCAGAAATGCAACATTCTGTTGGAAGACCCTAGTAAAATCAATACTAAGATACTAAAACAATATGAAGACAGTACTAAGGCAATTAAGATAATAAAACAATATTAAGATAGTACTGGTTTTCAATGTTCAGATGCATGCCTATTTCTTGAGAAATAGGAATTTTCTTTCCAGTACTATGGAAGTCATATCATGACCTTCTGGAGATCCTGTCATCAATCAAGGTACAATGCTAACAGAAGGGTCTGGTCTAATAGGTCCACTGATAGATTTTGTCTCTTTGGAATCTAAATCCTCTTCAGACATGCTGGAAATCCAGAACTTTCGACAAGCTTTGAATACACTGTAAAAGTTCCAATTTTAAACTTCTCAGTGTTATAGGCCAAGGACTTGCTGCTTTGAGTTGTCAATTAGGCAGATGGCTCTGTTGGTCAATTAAATGATTTTTGTGGTTTTAGAACCCGCATAAAGTGGTGTTGAGAGTCTCAATGTCATTCTTATCTTCTCCATGAATATTTATGGAGCCCTTCCTGAATTAAAGTACAAAAGAGTTAAGATGGAGCACAGGTTCCCAGCTGTGGGTTTGAGATGCCTGTGGCAGGTTTCTATACTACCCCATTGAAGCCCACAGTGGTAGAGAGAAGTGAGAAGCATGATGGGAATTATGCAAAAAAAAAAAAAAATATATATATATATATATATATATATATATATATATATATAAAAGGGTTCTCGATCTTTCAATACGGCACCTTTCAACTTTGAAGGGATCTGGGAAAGGATTTCCCCATCCTTGAGCCTAGCTCAGGCTCACCTTCTCAGGTGAATCCTGCCCCCTGGCCCAATGTTAAAGCTGACCTCATCCAGTTTCTCATATTCCCTCTCTGGGTAGACTTTCTGGATTAGTTTATACAGGTGCCAAAATAGCATCCTTCAGATCCATTTGTTTGACTACTCAGTACCTGTGGTGATGTGAAAATGCACATGGGTTTATGAATAGGTCTGTATTCTTTGTTATGGGTCGCCCCACCCTGCAAGGGTAGCATATGGAGCGTCCATTGAACACATCTCCATAAATGCCCACAGTGCTAATTGGTGCTCAGTGATGTGCCCATGATGAAGAGGAGGATAATGATAATGTTGATGGTGATGATGACGCCAGTGATGATACTGAATTGCTAATCATTCCAGGAGGAAAACAGTTCTGGGCATAGAGATATACTTAACAAAGACAGAATGAATGCATAATGTTTACAACTTATACTGCGTGTTTTTCTGAGATCTGGTTCTTTATTTTTATTTAAAAAAATATTTACCCTATGATTATCAATACGTACTAAAAGAACCAACCTCAACAGCTGAGCCTATGAGCTGGACTAAAATGGCATAACAGTAGTACAAAGTGGATTGACAGTTGCTTGCTTTTTTTCTTTTACCATCAGTCTATTTTTAAAAACATGATTTAGTTACCTAGCATTTCTCTCTCTTAAGGCAAATGACCACAGAACAGAAAGTGTTTTGCTGGTACCTAAATTAGAGACCTTCTCTCCAGATCTGCTTGGGTCAGGTCAGCAGAGACAGATGTGCCTTATGGTCAAGACATGAAGAAAGATTGTAAGCTAGAGAGATACACCTTGCACTGATGTGTGACACATAAATCAGTAAACAGATTTTAAAGCATACAGAAAAGGAAACAAATATAAGAAAGAACTCTTTAACCACCTTGAGGAATCAAGATCTTTTCTTAAAATGTAGATCACATAAGACTTGGGTCTTATCCTGCTTCTGCCCACTAAAGGTTGGATGGCCTTGGGGAGTCAATCCTCAGAGTGTGTTTCCTCTTATAAAATGGAGATGACAGTACACACCCCCACGGACTTGTTGAAGGATTAAATGAGATGATACATGTAACATGTCTAGCACGATGCCTGACACGTGGCGGGTGTTCAATGAATGGCAGAAATGGGGAACATCATCCCAATACTATTTACCTGTCTGCACTACTGGGTTGGAATGTGAAGATCAAATGATGGTGAAAGTGCTGCATAAAATAGAGGGCCCTCAACAAAGGGGGTTTGAGTAGCCCTAAAGTAGAGGGCTACTCTTTTTAAGATTAGGCTCTGAGTTCAATCTGTTGGTATTGGGAAATGAGGCAGAGATTAAGAAATCATCAAGGACACACTTTCTCTGTATACAGGTACCTGATATACCTAATCCCATCCATAAAGTTACTGAAACGTGAGGAACACAAGCATCCACCAGACTTCCTCAGGCGGGGTCTTGTGAAGATTAATAGTTAAAAGTGACACAAGTTATGAAAGTACCTGGGTGCCCTGCAGCAGACGGGATATGTAAATCTGAGGACTAATCACTGGCATAACATCATCACCATTTCTAGCAACAGACGCTTTCCTAGCCTGGAATAGAATTTCCAGAAGTATCTTTCCCTTTTTGGAATTACGGAGTCTGACAGATTTATTTCCACACATCTCACTTGCTTTCAGAGTTATTGTTTCCTCTTATTTTTTCCCCCTCCTCTTTGGTGACAGAGAAGCCTGAGAACCAATTCTGTCAGGAAGTTCTTGGGGAATTTTCAGAAGGATGTATAAAGCAGGGTGTATGAATGACTGTGAGCAGCCAGCATCCATTTCACTTGATAAAAATATATATTCATAACCGATCTTCCCAGCACATCTAAATAATCAAAACCATGAATGACAAACACATCAGATACATTTTTTAGGGCTTAAAGGATCTTTTTGGAGTAAGCTGCCATCATTTCTTCCTCTTAAAGCAGATCGGGTAACTTCTCCCCTGCTGCAGAGCCTCTCAAAAAGGATGTGCTATTAGATCCAGACCCCAGGATGGGAGCTCAGCTGCCCCCAGACATCTAATGCCAGTCCCCAAGTTTTCTGAATTTATTGACCAAGATGTTGGATGGAACAGGTTCAAGCATCTTGCTAAATAAAATATAGATTGCATTTATCATTTCCCCTCAATCTACTAAAATCTTGTTACTCTTTCATGGAAGGAAATGAATCAGTTTGACAGGACTTATTCTGTCAAGTGATATAAGTTCCCAACACTGTATTCACTACAGATTATTCTAGAAATGATTTGGTAACTTTTTTTTCAGGTAAAGTTCCAGATTGGGACATTACGAACTTCCTTTTTGCTTTTTAAAAATAGAGTCATTAATCCTGCTTCTTTTCAGTCCTGCCAAGTTTTTAAAAACAAAGTTACTCTCCCATGATTTTAGCCAATAATGAAATTCCTTTATAAAAAAAAAAACCTTTGCCCTGCAAAGAATCTACTTTTTTAAAAAAGAAGGTATTTCTACCAGTGTTTGAGGACTATTTAAAAGTTGATCATGCAAAAACAATGAGGAAGCAAATGGTCAAGGCTTAAGATTCCACTTCGACAGGCCTGTTTCGCGTCTCCCCACCCCCCTAAATACCGATTTAGGAATTATCTGAAGAGGTTTCTATATTGAATGGGTTTGAGGTCAAAGACAGCTATGGTGATGTTTCAGACTGTGTCAGTCTTGCAAGTTTCAGGCAAGTCAGAGCCATTATTTTCCATAAA